ACCTTCCCATTCATCACAAAGTTCTAACCATCACCGGGCATACAAATGAGGCCCCAAAATACAAAAAGTGAATCTTCTCAAGTTCAGGATTACATTGCAATTTATATACTTCCGGGACTCTATCTGAAGAGGTATAGAAGTGGTTCAGATAACATGAAGCGGTTGATAAGAATGACTTGAATTCTCTGTGAGTATCAGGCAGGAGGGAGGTTAATGATGAATGACCATTTACTAAAACATCTGCTGCCACCCTGTTTGTTTTCCTAGCACTGCCAAAAAAAATAAGATCCCACAGGCGATTGCCTCCTCCCTCACCCACCCTGCTGCCACCAGCCCATCCCCATTTGGCTCAGCCCGGAGTCGCCCAGCTGCTCTACCTGCCTCTGGACAGTCCTATGGGCCCTAGAACGAGGAAGGAGGGAATCCGAGAATACATTTCATGAGTGCACACAGCGAGCAGGTCTTTGGCTTAGCAGAGGTACTTCACTACTGAAACAGAATCGGAAGCAAGTGGCAGCCGTTCAACTAAAAGTGAAGAGTGAGGCAGAATGTGGGGTTCTTGCTAGCACTAGGACGGATTGGATTCACTCCTAAGATTAGCCTGAATTGATCTGCCTTATCTCCCTGTCTGATGTGCCGTTTAGACTGAGCTCCCGTTCCTTCCCTGTGTTGAGCTGAGGGGCCGTGGACTCAGTCTAATGACATTGATTTCTCCTGTTTCAGGGTTTAAAAGTGCCATGGCCACTTAGACAGACAACCAAAGGAACTACAAAATAGTAAGTGACTGCTTGCCAATGAAGATGGATTATTAGGCCATGGAAAAATATTAAAATATTAATTATATTTATAAATAATACTGTATATACATTTGATTATTTTATTTATATATTTATGTTTGTTTATTTATTTATATATTTTTTATTATTTATATATTATTATTTTTTGTAATATTTTACAATAAAGTAAAATGTATTAGTTCCTGCATCAGGTATCATTTAGGTATCATGAACTAACAATACAATTAATTTTATATAATATATTCATTCATATTATACGGCACTGTTGAATGCTTGAATCTGATTGGCTGACGAACGTCCTAAGGTCTGCAATTAGAACTGCATTACATGTCCAGATCACTTCGCCAAATGATTTCAGTTATTTCAAAGGTCCTTACAGCTTACTACAGCAAAATAACCAAAACCCACAACGACACTGACCAAGCAAATAAATATAGTAAAAACAACAAATTATTCCAAGTTTTTGGCACAATTACGTTTTATTATTTACTCTATTTCTCCCACTCTCGCCCCCATACAGACGCACACACATACAGTACAGACACACACTCGCACACACAGAAACATACACACGCACAGAAATGTGTTGTTAGCGTTGCTCTGATGATTTTATCAGTAAAAGGAAGTCGTGGCCTAATGGTTAGAGAGTCGGACTCGTAACCCAAAAGGTTGCGGGTTCGAGTCTCGTACCGGCAGGGATTGTAGGTGGGGGGAGTGAATGTACAGCGCTCTCTCCCACCTTCAATACCACGACTGAGGTGCCCTTGAGCAAGGCACCGAACCCCCAACTGCTCCCCGGGCGCCGCAGCAAAAAATGGCTGCCCACTGCTCCGGGTGTGTGTTCACGGTGTGTGTGTGTTCACTGCTGTGTGTGTGCACTTTGGATGGGACAAATGCAGAGCACTAATTCTGAGTATGGGTCACCATACTTGGCCACATGTCACTTCACACTTTTTTCACACACACTTAAAATAGTTTAGCAGCTTAAAAGCTATATGCCATTTCTCACTAATAACGGCGCTGTTCTTGAAGATGATGAACCTAGTTTCGCTATTGGTAGAAACGCTGCTGCCGAACACTGTTGAGAGACGCACAGACTCAGGTCATTCACACAAGCTTAATCTCTCTCTCTCTCTTTCTCTCTCTGTCTAATAACTTCATTATTAACTGCATTATTAGTCTGCTATCAACGGCTCAAGCCTCCGTTGCTAGGACTAAATTACATTTTGGAATTAGCAACGGAGGTGTTGGATGAGATGCAACACCTGAGATGAGATGAGATGAGATGAGATGAGATGAGATAAGAAATGAATCCTACTCACAAGAGCTTTTAAAGGACAAAAACCAGACGAATGTCTTTAACTACAACATCTGAACAATATTTGAGGTGTGGTAACCGTAGTATAAGCTGAATAATTGACTCCGGTCCGTTGAATTATTCGGGTGTGCATTCGGGTGTACATTATTTTCAACGGCCTGTCGTCAATTATCCCTTACTTAATTCATGCTGGTTCATTACACAGTGACTAATGTTAATTCATTAAACTTATAATTTTTAAAAATGCAGTAAAATTATTGATAATTGTTAATTCATGATACCTAATTGATACCTATTGAACCTTATTGAACCTTAAGTGTTTCATATAAAATATATTATAAATAAAATTTAATGAATTTAACCTTATTGTAAAGTATTAACATAAAATAAATCATATTTATATATTTTACACAGTACTATATATAAACAATCAAAATGATAAACCATGACCTAACAATAATCTGATTAAATACAAAATATGCCAACTAATTAACAGAATTAATTGCAATTAGTTGCATAAATCGATATTTGCTAAGAAAAGCACCCAAAATATATTTTAATTACATTACATTTAAATTATATAAATTGCATTAATAAAATAAAAAAGAGCACAATAATAATTAATGGAGAATGAGCCATTTTATATAGTATAGGGAGTTGGGCAAAGTACAGTAGTATTTAAGTAAATCCAAAGACACAAAATTCCAAATGTAATAGTGAAAGTGTGAAGTGCCTTCATGTCTGGCTCTGTGCTAGGCATGTCTGAACTTCCTTTTCGGATTCTATATACTGAGATTGAAAGACCCCACTGTCTCCCACCGGGATAATTTCACAGTCCAATCAGATGTGCATTCAACTTCCTCTTTTTCACCATTGACCACCAACGCCCCACCAACTGGGAGAAAACCAGATATCTGCATTCATCTATATTTGCATGGAAAGCACTTCCATCGAGCAGGTGGTGACAAGCAAGGAGAACCGAATCAAAAGAGACGGTGAATATCTCCGCAAGCCTCTCACCAAGTGGTAATCAGTGAGCAGCTCCTTTTCCACATTCAGATGTATTTGTTGATACACTAGAGAGTGCTTGAAATCAAGCTGTCTTAAGAGTCTCTCTAAAACTAGGTCTGTCACTTCTTAAAAAGAGAGACACACTTAGGGATATTTTTGGAACATGATGTACATGATCAATTTACATTGATTTTACAAGGAGCATGCAAAGACAAATGTGTTTACAACAAAGCATTTCATATAAATACGGAGGACAGACATACAGGACATTATATGACATAACGTTTACATATATGTATTAAGCAAGCTTGAGATGAGTGGCATTTTGATTGTAACTGCTGGTTAAGCAGTTCTCTATTTGATTGCAATATTGCTCCACCTTTAAATGGTGTATTTTATAATGTAAAGAGAATGGAGAACATGACCGGAAGAAGCAGATTGCTAAAAAGTGTATCAGAGTGTGCACTGAAACAGACTCCCTAAGTGTCACTTATGCTACCACTGGCCACAGCTTTCCCTGAAGAGTGAGAGTACATGAAAGGCTATAAACATCTGGACATAAAGCTAGGGGATTGACTCTTGCACCAGGGCACTCTTGGGTAATTTTGCTTTACAATAAGGTCCCTTTACTTAACAGTAGTTAAAATAAAATCTAAAATGAACAATTATCAGTGAGCACTAACAATGAGCATTTCATATGTTACTAGGGATGGGTCCGCACAAGAGACGCTGTTCCTCAGGCTGAAATGTGTGCGCGCGGCGCGCTCCATAACGGACAAACAAATTACACTTTGAGCTTCGGGTGCATGTCCAAACGATCAAATACACACAAAAATATGTCAAAATGGCCGGCTTGGAGAGTATTTACTTAAACACAGTTTATGTCTTAAGTGGAGGAGAACAGTTGGGAGAAAATCCGATGTGTGTCAATATATTGTCTTAAAGTGACAGACTGGTGCTTGGGCCATCAAAATGCAAATCTGCTCTTAATCTGAATAACGTTATAGCTTTAATAAGCATTAATCTATCAATACATACAATGAAAACTATGCAGTGTTCATTAACAATTGATTACTTTTAGATTACATTTGATTACTTTTAGATTTCTTTTGTAGGCTATTACTTACCTGAACAGTAATGTTAGTAGAACTTCATGGAAAAATGACAGCACTGTTTATTTCATTTCATTTGTATATTTGTTTTATTGTATTTGTCAGTTTGTTTTACTTTGTTTCTTTGTTCATGTTCTTACTGTATCTTATCTTATGTATAAAACACTAAAAATGCCTGCACACTGGTGCATTTACAAATTGATGTTTTATATTCATTTCATTAAATATTTATTTTACATTTCAGAATATAAAGCAATGTTAATTCAGCTCTTAATTTGTCATATATATCAAAAAGTACCGATAAGAATACCGTTAAAGTACCGAATCGATAAGCAGTATCGGTAAGAGTAGTAATACCGTTAAAACCTTAACGATACCCATCCCTATATGTTACAGTATTTATTAGTCTTTGTTTACGTTAGTTAATAAAAATACAACTGTTCATTGATTCATGTTAGCGTATTAGTAAATGTTAAAATAAACTAAGATTAATAAATGTTTTAAAATTATTCTTTCATTGTTAGTTCATGTTACGTAATGTAGTTAACTAATGTTAACAAATGGAACCTTATTGTAGTGTTACCAAAAATTCATTAAAATACTGGCATGAGTAAGCATGTCTCTTTAAATGTTTTTATAGAAAAGACACCAAAACGGCGGAAAATGTGCATGGAATTTGAGCTCAATTTCATAACACAGTTGGTCGCAAAACAGTCTCTATTTTGTAATAAAATAAAATTAATTTGTGCCCAACACAAATACCTGAAGAACTCCATGAAGGAAAATCCATAGCCATGCTGTTCAGCAATCCCAGCACACACCACATTTGCAGATGCTCCAATCAGTGTTCCATTTCCTTTGGGAATAGAAAGAGAAGAAGAAAAAATGAATGACTATCTTGGATAACTCTGATAGCTTGAATAAACATAGACATTCATTTATTTTTAAAGAAAAAATAAATGTTTGCCTAGTGAATTCTTCCATGTATACTCTCTCTGCTTCCCAACAACTCTGTGACTGTTCTTGAATGGCCCAGCCAGATCCCTGACTTAAACCCAATTGAGCATCTCTGGAGAGACCTAAAAATGGCTTTCCACCAACGTTTACCATCCAACCTGACAGAACTGGAGTGGATCTGCAAGAGGGAATGGCAGAGGATCCCCAAATCCAGGTGTGAAAGACTTGTTGCATCTTTCCCAAAAAGACTCATGGCTGTATTAGATCAAATGGGTGCTTCTACTAAATACTGAGCATTTTTCAGTTTTTCTTTTTTAATAAATTTGCAAAAATGTCAACAATTCTGTGTTTTTCTGTCAATATGGGGTGCTGTGTGTACATTAATGAGGAAAAAAAATTAACTTAAATGATTTTAGCAAATGGCTGCAATATAACAAAGAGTGAAAAATTTAAGGGGGTCTGAATACTTTCCGTACCCACTGTACCCTATCCAATCACTCGAGTCTGCCTTGAGAGAGAGAGACCTGAGAATTTGTAAATGTTTAAATAGCACTATATGTCCTCTACAAATACAACACTGTACAAACACGGATCTTTATAAATGAATATTAGAATTGAATTGGTGTCAATGTGCACAGCAGATTTTGTTATACTGATTGCAATTTAAAGTTCTCCACTGTGCAATCACTTCTGTTAGAGTACCAGCAATGAAATGACCTTCAGTGCTAAATTGCAGGAGGTGATTTAGCAAGGGTTTTCTTTTGTAGTACCTGCTTTTGAAATGCATGTCCCAACTCAAATCACAGGCATGATAGCTTTCTGATGAAGGACAGAGGTCATCACTTCATCAATAGCATGTCTAGAAAAATTTACTCTGGAGAATCTAGATGTGTTCTTCAATTTACTGTCCCGCCTCTGATCCAAGTTATATTTTGAAAAATAAAATATAAGTTTATATTTTGTCTTTGATTTAAATTTGTCATAAACAATGAAATTCCATCATAAAAATATCAAAATATGTTTTTTAACATTTTGAAAATCTGGAGTTTGAAAAGATCATTGCATATCAATTACGTAATTGTACAGTAACTATATATAGAGAGACATTAAAAAAGAAAAAAAATGATGCGTCAACATCACATTTTCATTTTAACGACTAAATGCCTTATAAATTTGAACAATTTAAAACTCTAAATGCAGTTTACACCCATCAATTTGTCTTTTCCTATGAGACATATTTCTTAAATCGTGTTGTTTGGCCTTGTAGAAGAATGGTCTTCATATGAAATGTTCACATCTTGAAAGGTGTCAGCGTTACAACAAAACCAGAAGCCTGCCTTAGCATTCCATGGATCAATATTACAGCTAACACATCTCCTTTGATTAGGCAGTAGGACTGCCACATCTCTCTCCATGTCCTTAGAGCCAAACAGGCAATGAGGCATTTTCAGGTGGCCTTGTAAGCACACTACATTCCTAAATGTAGAGCGATCTGTTGTGCACTGTGGTGCTTTCAAAGCCAGTGAGGAAAAAGTTAGAGGCATTGAAAAACTACAGCTTATTAAGGTTGACACAATGTAATAAAAAAAGAGACAATTTTTGAATCACTAGTTTGAATTGCTAATTATATATCACAAATACATTTAGGTAAAGCAATTACTTATTCGCCTCTATAGGAGGTGGTTTGCAATTCAAATGAAACGCTACAAATTATGTCTTTTAAAGGCATAGTATTCATTGCAGTTCATCAATCCACTTGAACCAAGTTTGCTGTAATGGCATGTTGTTGTTTTTTTTGTTTTTTAAACACTTATACTGAATAATATAGGAGAGAGACAAAAATGTAACTGACCTCCAAGGCAAGCTCCCATTGCCAATGCAAAAATTAGAGGTTTGACTGGTAGGTTGACATCAGCATCTTGACTAAGGTTTATAAGCACAGGAATCTGTGAAAGAAAAAAAAACACATCAGATAAATATATCATATGTAGTGTGTATATGTGACGGACGGACGGACGGACGGACGGACAGACGGATAGACGGATAGACAGATAGACAGATAGATAGATAGATAGATAGATAGATAGATGCAAAATGCCCTGATCATAATTCTCATAGGCAATGTATTTGAAGAATGAAAAATTAAGCACTGCCTATTACAAACAACCATCTGTCAAGAACCAAACATTGTGGATGTCAGTCACAGAGAATGTTAAATTCACAAATTCTGACAGCCGTCCAACCTATTAGCAGATTGAGTCATATTCTTCTGCTCCACAAGTCAAGAGCAAGAAAATCAATAGTTGATGACATTAGATTTCTTTGCCATATTTCTCTCTTTTTGCACAAACACAGAGCTTGAATAAACAGCAAATGAAAATCTCATGAAACAGCATGTATGATCCAAGCATCACTGCTTTGGCCCAGGCATGAAATCTACATGGATATAAACAAGACAAAAACACTCCACAATGGCTATAGCCATCAGTGCTTAGCATGAGAATATAATGGTGAGAAGCAAGGAATGGATCCCTGTGGCGACAACAACAAATATGCATGCATACATTTCTCAAGGCACATAAGCATTCGATCTTCCCACCAGTGTAGCATAATTTAAAGATTGCATATTTGCAGAAAATGTCTTCTGCCTCGAAGATTTCTGCGTGTAGCCACTTGTCTGCTACACACTGGCCTCCCAGCTAACAGCGGCTTCAGCTGCAATCAACTTGAATAAATTACACAGCACAACTGTGATTACATTTTCTACTACATTTGCCATCCGGCTCATTCAGCTGTGGCATCGCCAGCGTGGATGGGAGGGCACCAGGAGCCAAAGCAACCGTACACTTGTGTTGACAAGAAAATAGCAGTTTTATGTTTGCAGTGGAGCGCAAATAGCAAATTTTTAATCTGTGTGGAAAATCCTAACTTGACACAGGTGGCATGGAAACATTTTTACAGATATCACACATGCTCTCTGTTATCATAACTCTGCAATCATAAATATTAGTATATTTATTATATTATTAAACTTTCATTATGTTGTCTACACATGAACAGCTACTGTGTAATAAGTTACAGTATATGGGGACATTTGTTCTTTTATGGAGGTGTAGACATAAGGACTATATTTAGGGGATAATCTATAGCAAGTGTGTTTTTAATCACAAAGTAATCACGGCCATGGTCAACCTTGAAAGGATTTCTTTTGCAAAAACTAACTATTATCACACTTATTTAATAGATTCTTACCTAACAAATATCATAATAAATGGAAAATATATTTAACATATATTGATACATAAACTACGATTCAATAATTTAGTTTTTGAAAGAAATTAACACTTTGATGCAGCAAGCAAGCATTTAATTGATCAAAAGTGACAGTAAAGACTTTTTTGTTAAAAATAATGTCTATTTTAAATAAATGCAGTTCCCTTTCAGTCGGTCACTCTCGACGTCACGTCGGATGACCGACGGAATTGGGATCTTGCTTAGAGAGACCAATCTACTTCGAGTGTAAACTAAACGAGCCAATGCACATTGGCATGCGATTATTGCATCCAGCTGCCGCTGATCACAGCGTGAGTATAAGTAGGCAGCAGATGCAGCGCATATTCAGCTTTTCGCTTCGGAGCCGAGCGATCACATCGTTCTGCTCCTGACTACTCTACTGAGACAAGAAGACTGAACGAGTTCAGCACGCTCTTGGAGAGCTCTTGCAGCTGGATGCAATAATCGCATGCCAATGTGCATTGGCTCATTTAGTTTACACTCGAAGTAGATTGGTCTCTCTAAGCGAGATCCCAATTCCGTCGGTCATCCGACGTGACGTCTCCGTTCCCTCCTTCAGGGAACGAGGGTTACCATACGTAACCGAGACGTTCTTTTGAACTTTTTATTCATCAAAAAAAGTTTTTACAGTTTCTTCAAATTATTAAGCAACACAACTATTTTCAGCATTGATGATAATAAATAATGGCGGTAATAATAAGAAATGTTTTCTTGGCACCAAATCAGCATGTTACAATTATTTTTTGAAGTACCACGTGACAATGAAGATTGGAGTAATGGCTGCTGAAAATTCAGCTTTGCGGTCACAGGACTAAATTACAATTTAATATATTTTCATGAAAAATGGAAAACAGTCATTTAAATTTAATTGTTGTCAGTCAGATTCAGATATGCTGGTTCTCACCAGGAAGTTCTTTTGGGATTTCTTAAGGGTTCCTGAAAATAAAACATCAATTGTGGTTTAAAGATTTACCACAAAAATAGAACCTTAGGTTATCAAGGTTAAGAACGGTCAATAATAACTTTCATTAAATCCCACAAGCACTTTGATCCAGTTTACTTACTGCAATTACAGAACAATCATTGGCAAGTCACCCAATAAATAGCCATGGAAACAAAAGGAGATCGACAAACATGGTGAGCAGGGCCATGACTGCAGCCATGTATATGTCCTATATAATCCCTTACAGATGAGAACAGGCAGGGACAGAAGTAAACAGCTTCTAGACACTGTATTGATCTTCAGATCAGATGTTCAATGCTCCATGTGGATGTCAGTGATTGTGTGACGTTTGAAAATATATAGAATACTCAAACCGAACACGCTGTGCCTGATATGTGGACCTAAACATGGCAAGCCAATTTAAAATTGCTTTATACATGGTGTGATTTAGAGTCAATACTTCAAGCAATTTAAACGTCTAACCACAGAAATTTGTTGCTCAGAGCAGTATGAATTTCCATGCAAGTATATTCAGGTTAGTTAAATGGTCTTTCCAATGAAGCTGGTGGACCAAATGATGCTTGATGATGGTTAAGCTAGTTATGAAGTCTTGTAGGGAGACCAGCATACCAGCATTCAGACCACAGAGGGAAGTTAAAAAATAACTGAATTCATGCTAATTTTTAGTAGAGTCAGAAACAGGCCCATTCTGTGCTCTACATTAATGAAGTGTGTGTCTAACTGCATGGTCTTTTTAGTCCAGCTTCAGATTGTGAGAGAGCACTACTGAGAAGTCTTTTTCTGTATTTATACAGTGATGGGGCCAGCAAAATCAATGCTATCCATTACCATCATAGGTATATGCTGAGCTCAAATACATTTCACCCTGTTTATATCTCCTTTTTTGACAGAGCGAATGAAAGAGACAGACAGTGAGCAAGAATAAGACAAAATAGGACAAGAGTTGCAGGTCCCAGTGGCTAACATGTCATCCAACAACTGACTAGTCAAACACAGTGAGATCTTTATACAAACACATCCTAAGAAATATATATAATCGGGGTCATTTTGACTACTAGACTAGTATTCAGCTAGTTGTTCCTTACAACCTAACAACTTTGCCTAACTAGTTGCCTAACCTAACAACTAATGTAGTTCTGCCCATCCCTACTACACACAAGGTGAGAAAGGAAGGCAAGATATGACAGTCCCTCAAGTTAAGGGACTCCAGTCATTATCATTACATAAATTGCTTCAGTATCATCCAAGACCCTCCTGGCTCACATCAGAGGCCTGATAATCTTGTCTTATTTTGTGATAATGATCAAGTGACTGCATATTACGCATTACATAACTTCTTGTTCACAGAACTCTTGTATAAAAGACTTTGCCTAGGCCTATTGCAGGGAACATCAAAAAGGTGATTAAATAAAGTGAAATTTAAACAAAATGGTGAGCAATTTCAGCATCTAATAATATATATTTTTATATATTAATGTCAATTTATTTTTACAAAAAATAATTTAATTTAAATGAATAATTTAATTGAATATCATTTTAATTGCATCACAAAAACAATTAAAATCTTGAAAAAATTTATCATGGCATCCACATAAATATTAAGCCACACAACTATTTTCAAAATTGATAAACATAGGAAATGTATTCCTCTAATATGCAAATCAGAGTATATTAGAGCATATTAGAGGAATAAATTACATTTTAAAATATAGAAAAGTTTTTTATCAAATAAAGGCCTTCTTTCAAGTCCAAGTACTAAAAAAGGCCATTGTACTAAGATGTCAGACAAACTAGAATGAGATTTAGAGCTAGTTTTGTTTCACCATATCTTTGTGTTTGTGTGCAAATGCCTGAAGGAGTATGTCTGTTCCTTACCATAGTGGCAGTGAAGGGAATGTTGTCTATAAGAGAGGAGGCCAGTGCTGAGACCCACATGACCAAAATGATGGCGATGGCCAACCGCTCATCCTCTGGCACTGCCTGGGAGAGAAGATAACAATAAAATATGTCACAACCAAACGCACGCACACACAGGCACATAGATGCCAACACAAAGGTGGGAGGGTTTGCAGACAATGTGTTCATGACACAGTCACATTGGATTCATTATTTCATGCTCTGTTGCTTTCATAAACCGAAACACAAAACAACACATGTACACAAACAGACATAAACACAAACTCTCACCATATGCCTGTTTTCAATCCAGCTATAACGTATGTGAAAACGCACTGTAGCTTTTACATAAGCATGTAAGAATGCTGTTTATTAGAACACGGTTTTATTTCAGTCATTTCCCCACTATTTCTCTCTTTGGTTGTTCATCTACATGGTCAGATTTTGGGGGTGCTGATTGGATTGAATGCATCAGAGCCCCACAGCAGCACCTGTCATGAATAATTACTGTGATTGTAAAAGGCCCACACAGCAAACACAAGCTGACAGGTCTATCAGAGTGTGATCGCCAGCCAGGCAGAGCTGGACACTTTCAGACCTCTGGAAATCTCTCTATTTATGGCCCACACAACCCTACTATTGGATCAAAGATAACAATAATTTGAGCCAGCCACATTATTTAATGAGGTTAATTTGGCTGGTTGACATTGTTTTGTTTTTGTTTGTTTTTTTAAGTGTGGTAATGCAAGCTCTTAGAATTATGGTGCATGTATGAAAGAAGATATAGAGTAAAACAGCGCTCGTCCACTTTTTCAGGAGCCTTGGTTTTTACTCTGAGGCAGAAACAGACCTTTCCCTCAAAATCCGATCATGAGTGGTCACAGGAGACAGATCTGAGGCATGTTACATCAAGGTGTAAACAGCATGTGTCGCCTTCCCACTTGTGATCGTATCACATACCTTATACCTGTATCATATACCACATACATATTTTAATACCACTTGTTGGATAGATTTTGTGCTGATTGTATAACACCTTTAGTGAGTCGAGCACCAAAGCAACACAGACAGCCCATGCAAATATAAATATATCAAATACTTCTGGAGCAAATACTCACTTTTATCAACACTGCTGTCTGCTCCCCGATGTAGTCGATGAGCTGCAGCTGGGCTAGGGCCTTAAAAATACACCAAAGAGAAAAATCAAGCCATAGACCAGAAACCAAAACAACAGACATTTAACCTGACAGCTCTGATTTTCCATCTTTTAAACAATGGAAGTGGAATATCAGAATTCATCTATTTTTGTCTCAGCGCTTGCAGTACACACTGGTATGAGTGACTGTGAATGTTGGCTCTGCTATAGAGAGCAAACAGTTTATCTTGGAGCAGTGTTAAGCTCCCCACTGGGCCCAAGGGGTGGGCTTCCCTGTGTGAATACTGTTCTCCTAACAAAAGAAAGGATTAAACCAACACAAACAGCAAACCCAGCATTTCTGCTGCTGACATGCTCACTTTCTCCTTACTTCGACTCCCAATCTCAAGTCACCCTCTTTCTCCTTCTTTATTTATGAATGTGATAGATAAAAATAAACATAAAAATGGCCTATTATATACATTATTAATGTAACGAATCAGCTCATGGGAAATATGAATAATTAATTGGTCCAGACGCTACATTAATATTTTATCTTTCATGACAATGCACTTTAAATTGTCTGTCCTCTATAACAATGCACTTTTTTCCTCTTTCACGCTTGACTAAGGTCCGGTTTCACAAAAAAAATTAATAAATACATTTTGGGGGGAAAAGTAAATAAAAAACAGATATAGATATATAATAAAAATTTATAGATAGATAGATAGATAGATAGATAGACAGATAGATAGATATAGATTAAAATAAGAAAGAAGAAATAGAACACTTTTTCTTACAATAATTAATAAAAATCTCATTTAACTTTTTTTTTTATTTAAATCCTATTTTGGGGGACACATAGTGAGGTAGACATGTGGGGCGTGTTAGAACGAGCCGTTTTAGGTAGGTGTGGTTGACTCTTAACTTTTATAAAGAATATCTCTTTGGATTTGAGACTTTAGTCTTTGCAACTTTACAGATCTTCTTTATGCACCAAGAGCTTGTAACACTCCAAAAAGAAAGGCAAAATTGAAATAGCATCATATGACCCCTTTAATGTTTATTTTATTATTGCATTTTTTGGTTGCATTTAAAAAAAATAAATTTTAGGGGGCACATTAGAGGCATGACAGGCTCCGAACTAGCATCCAAAACAACATGGGCCGGTGACCAGCTAAACTGATCTTGGTAAACAATGACTAGCCATTACTATGATGTAAAAGATGACAGAACATTGGGATATGTGGGCGTTTGTTGAGCATTACCATACCTCCATAAGCACAAACAGAGCAGCAAAGAACAACAGGGTGGCCCATTCCACTCTGTGAAGTATGATCTCAAAGTCCTGAATGTCAGCCAGCACCAGTAACCACAGAGCCCCCAAGATAGCGATCCAACCTGAGGGACAAAACAGTACATCAAGCCGAGATCACTGGAAAAGAACCAAGAACACTGCTCACACAAACATTTTATTTCCTGTTGTTGCACGTAAAGGTTTTAAGATAATGGAATCCTGGAAAACAGCAGACTGGTGGTTAATGCAGTGCATCAATCATATGTTATGTCTCTATCTATCTTGCCTTCCCATGACCACAAACACTTTCTCATCAGCCGACCACAGTGTTCCTAAATCTGGTATTCCACTCACACAAAAAAACATTCAGCAGGAGAGAGACCAAACAGCGGCATTCAATTAGAAACACAGTCCAGCCACCGCTCAAACGGACTCATAATCGCTCTGCACATCAATATACAGACACCACAGGTAGTCTGCAACGCCACAATGGACTACAGGTTGTCAGGGCATAAGAATAATAAGCCAGTTACTGGAAAGCCTTCATTAAAGGCTTCTGTGATGTGTCCGACACTGATCTAAGAATCTCAGTCTAAATAAATGATGGGAATCGCAAATACAACATAAACAGAACAAAAAAGTGCTGGTTTCCCTGAGAGAGGATATAATATTAATTAATTCTGTATGCTTTTTTATATGTTTGAGAAGTCTCTTATGCTCACCAAGGCAGAATTTATTTGATCAGAACCACAATAAAAACAGTAATATTGTGGAAATATTATTATGATTTTAAATAACTGTTTTCAAATATATATTTTAAATGTTATTTATTCCTGTCATGGAAAAGCTGAATTTTCAGCCACCACTACTCAGTCTTCAGTGTCTCATGATCCTTCAGAAATCATTCTAATATGCCAATTTGCTGCTCAGGAAACATTTCTAATTATTATCAATGTTGAAAATAATAGTGCTGCTTAATATTTTTGTGGAAAAAGGGTGATACTTTTTTTTTTCAGGATTATTTGATAAATAGAAAATTCAAAAGAACAGCATTTATATGAGATAGACATTTTAGAAATATATTTTTGTGTTCCACAGAATAAAGAAAAACGTACAAGATTGAAACAACATGAGGGTAAGTAAATGATGGCTGAATCTTCATTTTTATGTGAACGTTCCCTTTACACTGTACAATATAAGCAAAATAAAAGTCAACCTGTGCCACAGTTTATTTTAATCCACTCAGTCTAAAATATCTATCAAGAATGGAGGTGAAATATAAAAGGACATTAGCTGGTCTGAACATTGTGCATGCTGTCATGAAATACTGCCAGAAATTTTACCACTGATTAGGTGATGACGTACTGTTTCCCAGAAGCCTCTGGGATTAAAAGCATACGTAGCGTGTCAGGGACAAAATGTATGAGTCACTAAAGTGAGATGGATAATACAGCAGGATGCGGACCAGTGGTATAGCACACCATCACATGCGGTGGTAGAAGTCCATCATAATGAGTGTGCCATTTAGACATCAGGACCGTGCACAACTAATGCGTCACATCTCAGCCTTTGACCTTTACTATAATAGACACAGAAAAACAAGCTTTATTCTGGACCTGTGTATTACATGCAACTGTTTGACGCTGACAGTTTCAAAAAACAAAAAAAAAGAGACTGCAAATGTCTACAAACGAACAGGAGCCATTAGCCCAGTTAATGTATGCTTACACACTGGGAGAAACATTTACAAGCAGTACAATTAGAGTTTGAAACGAACATAAGTGCAGGTAGTTGATTATCTTCTCTAGATTGTGTTTTACTGGAGCACCATTAAGGGGACATTTGTCATAGCATTCAGATAAAATGTTTCCTGAAAATAATACTGTGTTTGTCATCATTTCCCAAAACAAAGCAGTGAAAGGGAAAATTTCATTTCTTGTTATTTTGCATTTATTTGTTGTGCATTATTAATCTTTCTATTATTCCTCTGTGTACTCAGAAAACAAATATGAGAGGGAAAGGAAGAGTGGATGATGTTCGTTTGGTATAGCGTAAATGAGTGTGTGTTGGCCTTGAGTCAAAAGCAGGAACAAGTAGTGAGTCTTTGAAGCAGCATGTGTTGAGCAGACGGTCATGTACACCACACACTATAAAAGCTTTGGGGCCGAAATGACATTTATTTTTCATATAATAAGACAGGGCCTTCCTCTGGACAATCAGGAACCAGATCCTGTCATGGTGTTCAGTGGAAATGGTGTGTCACAATCCTAAAAGGAAAATGGGTCGCAGATCTGGGGAATAAATGCTAAATACAAACAATAAACTTACTAATTTTATAGAGTAAAAAATTCTCCTTTGTTGATTTTTTGGCACAATTTCATCAGTCACATGGTAAAAGCTAGCAAAAGTATGTTCCAACTTAAAAACGACCACATTCTTGCAAATGAAATGAGTAAAATCTGGGTCCTCAAGCAAAATCATTTGCCATAACCAGTGCTTGGGCCTAGGCCTGGGCGATAAAACGGTATCGATATTTATCGACGGTACACCCTCTTTGATAACGATAGAAAAAATGTTCGATATAGCGCATGATATAGGCACGTGCTATGAGTGACGCAGACTGCACGCACAAACACGAACACATGCTGAACTGAGTGCTGTGCCTACCTGTGATGAGGAGATTGTGAATTTAAAAAATTAATATTAGTCGAATTTAAAATAAACATTTGCATTTGAATGCAAAAATAGTACAATCAAATGTTAGGTGTGCGTCTGGGAGCGTCACTAGTGGAACGCGAGATGCGGTGATGATGATGTAAGTGACGTTGTTGCATTTTAATGTTTTATAAGTCTAGCCCACAAGACGCGCAGTTGCTGCGTTATTCATTCAAAATATTAGAGAAATATAGTAGCTCAATGCGTAGAAGATCTTAATTAGGTTAAAACTGAAACCAAGCCATTCACACAGAACGCATATTCGGCACATTTTTTAGACAGACAAATATGACTGCTGCTCTCATGTCTCACACAAGAGATGTAGCCATGCAAAGCTAAAACAGTTTAAACTTTTAGAAAACACATCACGAATTTGTGGAGGTTTATTCCTTTTCACTGCGTCTCTTATGTTTTTAATTGCAATCTGCGTGATGGGCGATTCAGCTCTTTGTATTAATCAATGCATAAATACATGATGCTGTTTTGTTCATAATTGTTTATGCAATTTACGAAATTATGTTTTGATTTATATGAGTTAATTTAGAAGTAATGCATTGCATATAAAACATTAGAAATTAGATATTTGTTTAATTTTTATTTTGTGTTTGACTGTTAAAACAAAAAATATTTGTTGTTTGTCTCAATAAATTGGGTTAATTAAAAAAATACAGTGGTTAAATTTAAACGTTTTTTTCTATTGCTCTTTGTTTTAAAAAAGGTTATAAAAAATGTCAATAATTATCGATACCGAACGATATGAAACATTATATCATTATGAATTATTTCACATTATTATGAAACATTTTTTAGCTATATCGCCCAGCCCTACTTGGGCCCCAGAAAAGTAGGGTCATCCATAAAATGTTGCCCAGAAAGATTGTTTGTTAGCGAGAACTTTCCTTCAAAAATGAAGGAATAGTTGGGAAAAGACTTATCTTGTTTTTCAGTTTCATTATTAGCCTGCATACACTTCAAATTCATGAAAAACCCACCATTTTGACAACAGAAATAGTCATAAATGTCAAAAATCTAACCCACTCAAAGAAGGATAACAAATTACTGAGCCATTATCTAAAGACCCCACTTTCAGCAGGCTATTTCCTGTTAGCCAGCCAGACGCTTTGGACTTTAGCCAGCAATGCCAGTGTGTGAAGTGCCTCTATTAAAACAGGCTGGACAATGGTCAAACAGTTACTATTCAAGCTTCTCAAATTTAGCACAAAACACTACACATGCATGCACACATACTTTTGGGATTATGACCAACACTGGTCAGTAAATGCTGCAACAAACCGATACGCTATAAATCATAGCAGAGGGGGCGACAGTATGCTTCCAATTCTAGCTAAATTTGATTAAACAGGTGAGTGCTGAAGACTGCCCGTGGGAAATCATTTAATAAGGGATGAGAAGGACGAACAGAGGAAGAGCCAAAGACAGGAAGAGAAAGAACAGAAGAAGGCAGAGAAGAGACCAGCTGCACAGAGGACACAGATGTACTGTAATTGTGGAGGAGAATTCATTAACAAAGTTTAAACAAAACTGGTTTAAACAAGGTAAAGAACAAGGTAAATGAGGTAAAAGGCAATGGTGTTCAGAATAGCCAGATGATAGAAGACAAAGTTATGTAACAGGAAGTCTATTAATTAAAAAAAATAATGTGAATTGTTTCAATCAGAATGGAGTTGGTGGAAATTTATAGACGAAACTGCAACATACAAAGTTGAAATCGAATTTATAAAAATGTAAGTGACAAGCGTAATTCAAATATCTGTTATACCCCTCTTTTTTGGTTGATACCCCAAAGATGTATATGTAAACATAATTACAAAAATTATAATTTATTTCCAAAATTAAGCTCCTGTTTTCCCTTCAGAGTCTTTGAATATGCTCTGATCTAACGAAAACCCAGGAGAAGGAAAATAATGAAGCTTTAATCTCTTTAAAACTGTGATTAAAAAGTTTGTTTTGGTTCTCATAAGATTAGAAAAAGTCAAGATGTATCAGTTTGATACTTAAATTATAAGCATGTTTTTTTAGATAATAAAAGGGCTTCTGGGTCCAACAAAACATGGGGGTTGACAACTTTCACGTCACTTGGATACCTTAAATATTCCTCACAGTCAGCCACCTCAATAAGTAAACTAATATTACATATAATATATACTGTATATTATATATACTGTGCATCTTTTCTTTAGAAGTGAAGCATATTCACGGATTTGGATGGCACAAATACACACACACTCTAGCACTGTAGTCCACGCATGGTGTGAAAAGAATCCCAGACTTCTTCCACACTGGCACTGGGACAGTTGTGTCACAACACAACTCCAAAAAAGTAACTTTTGATTTGCTTTTCGCTTCAATGTTTCCCCACGGCATCCAACGGAAGATGGCGGAAGGACTGGGGGGCCTTCAGCCTGGGAGGTTCATTCATCATACCCAAAACAACACAGGCATTCTGGCCCATTGAGTGAGACACAAACACCACCTCATCATGTTCTTAATTTTAAAGCAAATGTGTTTCCACAAGCACCTTCTTTATAAATAACTCTCTCTCTCTCTCTCTCAGAATTTTCTTGGAAAAAATGAGCTGTTGTGTGTTTTCTACTTTGATTAATCTTCCACCGTTTCCTCATTCATTATTTGGTGGTACAGCTTTTGTGCTGCCCAGGAGATAAATTATGCCTGGATCTTAACTTATTTATTCATAAATAAATGACCATATCAAGAGATGGGTTACATTAGTAATATTTAATATGCATGTGGACCTTAAATGTAATCATTTTCTCATTTAAAAAGTTTTACCCTGAAATAAATTAATAATACTTTAAAGTTGCACTACAGAAGAGATTTTGGTTAAAAATGAACAAAAATCGATATGTATACCTCAAACCATCAGATTTATCATTCTGCAGCAGAGCAGTGGCAAAGCACAACCCATGTAAAGAAATAATTTTGCAAGTAACCTGCTATTTTATGTTTCAAACAGAGATGGTGATAAAGTTTCATAGCGCATCTTTAAAGTCCCCCTGTAGTGAAAATCTAGTTTTTTATGTTGTTCTTCACACGCGTATGCTCGCGGGAGTTAATTAAGAATCACAAACGGCTGCATTCGAGTCTTCAAGGCATTTTAGGACACAACATCGTCAAGTAAGTAACTTTAACGAATGTTACAGTATTCACTGTAGTTGTCCGCTAGGAAAAACATAGTTTTATCAGTCATTATCCGTGTATGCCATTGTTTTGCGTTTACTACAGTTCAGTGGATCAGGAGGCGCTTATTTTGATGATCAAAGATACGTTTTAAGGGATAAAATATTTGACTACAGGGGGACTTTAAAAGATAATGGTTTAAAACATACATTCACATGAGATAAAGACTCATGACTCAAATACATATCCATAATAATAAAGATAATAAGGCTGCTTAAATTTACAGTACATGGAGCATCGCATCATGTGGGTTGAAATGTTGAGATCACATGACCAGTCAGATACTTCTCGTTTTCACTCAAAAATTCCTTTTACCAAACAAACTTTCGCTTGTGGAATAAATTAATCATGGCTTTCTATTCAAATAGGGTATTTTTATAATGCTTAATGAACATTTCTGCTTTATTCTAAATCTGTATCTATGCCACTGGGTGTCAGTATATTTCGGGAAAACTACCAAATCAATCAGCAACTTCAAGAAAAACTGTTGAATTTTAACTACATAAAAAAATGAATACCACAAGTTTCTAAAATCAAATGTTGGTTGTTGTTTTCTATGAGCTCTTTGGATTTTTTAAGCATGAAAATATCTTTACTTTTAGAGTAAAGTCTCACTCTGAGAAAATTATTGATATTTCCTTGAAATTCCATTATGACCTATATGTGAAATGTTTTGATGGACCTATAGAAATGACCTTTCAGAGCCTATTTTTTTTTTTCTTCTAACAGCTTTTCAGTGACCTAAAAATCAAGAAAACTCCCAGACGCACTGTTACTGCTAGCATTGTTCACATAAATGTGCTAATTGTTCACCAGTAAGTCAGTTCCTGTGTGCTTCATTGCCCTCCAGCAGGCGCACTGTATCCTCGGCCATGATTTAAATAATCAATATCAAAGGTCAAATGGAGTGGTGATGATGGTGTCAACCTAATGAAAGTCTAATGACAGTCATTTGCAGCCCGTGCTGTCCGACCCTGGTTTTGATCAGAACGAGGCACTGAAAAGAAATTTGAAAGCAGAACCACACTGTTTTTTCAAAATGGTAATGTACAGTGATTATTTTTTCGAGCATTGCCGATTAATTATGTACACAGCTGTGGAAAGGAAAAAATACATGATTTTGTATGAATGAAGAGAAACTAATATTCATGTGTCATCTTTCCACAAGATAAACCTGTCCACAAATGAGAACTGATTATCAATACACAATCAGACCCAAACAACACAACAACCTACAGTAAGTGAGCTGTGTGGCTGGCCTTCTCCGATTGACCAACTCGTTCTCACTAATGTGTTTGGTGAAGTTCTCGATCTCATTTCCATCTGTAATTGACTTCTCATTCGCTGTATAATAAACACGTCCATAAACCAGTTCGACAAAGCTAGAACAAAAAGGAAGGCTAAACAGAAACAAAAGACTAATTTTGGGGTGAGTAATACTAGCTGTCTTATTTAATCTCACGCTACTCCATTGTTGTGGTTTTGCATTTGTGTCTTTTTCTGCATTTAAAGCCCAGCTGCAAACTATTACGACATCAACACATTGACAGGTTCATACACACACTAATTAGATCATGGGAGAAATTGGCCAGCTTTACTAGAATAGCATTTGTTTCTCTAATTTTATTCTACGAACCCTAATAGAATGCATATAAAATGAAATGTTTGCTCCGTGGTCGAGGAATTGGCACATTTTTGATCATTTCAAAAATAGCGAGATATTCTTGTGATTCCATTTCCTCTGTTCAAACAGAGAGGAAACAAGCCCTCATAATTATACAGTGAGGCATGTAAACAGCAGGGCCAGTTCAGCAATAGAAACAGATGAATCCTGATTATTTGTGTTTAACACAAATGTTTGTCTCTTGCTTACCCAGATCCAGATGTATGGCAGGAACAAAGGAGCTCAGGAAGAACATAAAGATGACCACCCCAAGGACAGTCAGACACTTGACCAGGAGGATTTTATCAGTTATTCTGTGCTGTAAAAGACCATGAAAGACATGTTCAGATACAGGACAGAAAGAAACATGTCAAATACATATTATGCCAATTCAATTGATATTTAGAAACCAAACTATAATCACTATATTTTCTATATATATATTTTTTTTTTTTTTCAAACTATTATCACTATATGTCATTTAGGATAAAATTATCTGCTAAATGAATAAACGTAAACCTTAACACTTCTGCTGTTTATACAATTACAAAATTGTCAATTTTTCTATTTAGCATCAGCTCATAGTAATATTATGTGATAACAATTTTGTTGTATTTTTGTGACCATATCAATTAATTAATTATTATATTAATATATTATTTATTTATAATTTAATCATTATTTTTTATTATTTATAATTATTATTATTAATAAATAATAATGAGTTGCAATCCGCAGGTCTATTCTTATTGAAACACTTATAGCAGTGAAAAAAATTATGCAAAATGGCAAATATTACAATGCTAATCATATAATAGTACACAGTATAGTTAACTTTACATGTTAACATTTACAAGGTAGGAGAAACATATCTTTTATTTGTTGATGTCAAAGGTCATGCGTCCAATTAATCTCCAATAAATGGTATTTTATCAAAAGCCAGAGTATATTACATGCAGATTCAACTGCAACAAGGCTAAATATGGTGTGTGCCTAGTTTCTCTAAAGTCATTTTTGCTTATTAGTATGGTTGAACTGGATCATTAAAGTTCATATAACTTCATATATAAATTCAGTAAAATGGGATTAGATACATTTTTGTTATTTAACATATTTAATTATTGCAGGTTTGCGTCATATTCTGAGTTTGCATTTCACTGTTTTAATTCATTTTGATGAATACTAAATCTGTTTTTTGTGAGTGGGATGAATTAATGCACATTCACATTTAGTCTAGAACTACAGTAACATCGTGTTCACACAGCGCACACAACGCCTCTGTACTCCCGATTTCTCCCAATATGGGGACAGGAGAGCTGTCAGTCAATAAATGGGAAAACAAAGTAACTGGCATTACTTTTTTGAAAAAGTAACTCAGATATTTTCTTGTAAATTAAAAAAGTAATGCGTTACTTTACTAGTTACTTGAAAAAAGTCATCTGATTACGTAACTCGCATTACTTGTAATGAGTTACCCCCAACACTGGTGCCAACCACAATGTGAATTTTCTATTTAGTGTCAGCTCATCGTAACATTATGTGATATTTAACAATTTTGTTCATTTTTGTACAATGAAAAAATAGACAAATAAATAAAATTATTAAATTGACCATATCAATTAATTAATTAATATATTAATATATTATTTAAAAAATACATCATTAAAT